CGGGCAGGGAGGGACAAGGCCAAGGCCAGTGGGGCTCCAGCCCTCTGGGAGGCCTCTGAGACCTGATGTCCTGGTACCTGGTGAGGTGTTCTGGGAAGCAAGGGCCAGCGGGCACTCCATGAGGGGCGACGGCTAGGTGCTGGGCCGGGGACTGAATGGGCAGGTGGAGGGCAGGGGTCTGAGCAGGGCTGGAGGCCCAGCAGAGCCTCCCGGCAGCGTGGGCATCCCGGGGCTTGGCCAGGAAGGAACCTGTGAGGCCCCACAGGGAGGAGCGGGCAGGAGGCCAGGTGTGGCGGAGGGCCGGGCCCACCCCACCCACCCCACCCCAACCCTCTCTGAGGCCCCCGCAGGGGACGGTTCCTGTGGGGGACACGTCACCAGTTCAGGTCTTTCGGGTCAAGAGGACAAGAATCAGAACCACAGCAGGTCTCTTTCCTCCTAGCAGACGTGAGGCTGGTCCTGTCAGGATGTCGGCTCAGCACCACGGGCCGCGCAGGAGGGTCCAGCCCTGGCTGAGGTGTCACCCTGGACGAAGTCATCAACCACAGTGGGGACGACAGCCAGGAGGGCCTGCCTGCTGACCAGCTGGGGGTCCAGGCACAGGCGGCCTGCATATAGTGCTCTGCCTTCTGACGGCAGGACCCCAACAGCTGGGTTGACACCATCTTCTGAGTTTCCGTATTAAAATATCACACGCTTGGGGCTGGGGCTGGGGCTGGGCGGTGGGTGGAGCGCTCACCTAGCCGTGAGGCCTGGGGTCGATCCTCCGCACCACATAAAGATAGACAAATGGAGGTATTGCGTCCTTTTTTTAAAAAAAAAAAAAAAAACTTACATGCTTCTTAGTTTCTCTGACTTAAGAGCTCAAAGCCAGCTACAAGTGCCTTGGAGGCTTCTGCAGGACCAAAGGAAAATGAATCCTCCCCGTGCAGCTGCCAAGGGCCACACGGGCACCGTCCAGCTGCAGTGGCCACCAGGGCCCAGAAGACCCAGCGTGTTCAGCACTGCCAAGGAGGGCTGCTAAGGGGCACCCTCCCAGGCTCCTCAGCTCGAGGGCAATCGCAGCCTGCAGCATGGCCACAGCTGAGACCAGGTCCAGGCTTCTCCACGGGGCGAGGACCGGACTGTGAGCCTCCAGAAGGCCACCGCTGAGCCTGCAGAGGCAGCCAATCAGACGGGATGGCTCAGCCACTCAACGGTGGAACTGCGCTGTCCCCTCCTTTTCCAAGGAGACGTGGCCACTGCTCCATGGGTGGTTCGGTGCTGCCTGGCACCAAGTGGCATTAACAAGTCCACCCAGAACCTGAGAAGGACCCTCCATCCCAGGGGCCCAGCGAGCCCCAGGTGTCCACTGCCCCACACTGGCATGCATGGGCACCATTTACAGATGACCAACTGAGGCCCCAGAACAATCATGAGATGCTAACAGAGCAGAGGCCCTGTGGGAGCCTGTGTCCACCAGGGTCTGGGGTGTGGGATGGCCAGGGTCACACACCTGAGGAAGCTGCAGCTGCTCCCAAGGCCTCGAGGCGCCTCCTATCTTCGGCTGCCCTGGTCCCCCAACCCCACTTTCACCCTGCCTTGCAGTCCCCGGGACACATATGGGAGCCAAGAGCCACAGCTGACCGCTGTGCAGGGGATGCCTTCCTTCCTGTCACCCCAGGGAATTTCAGCTCCTCACCCCATGCAGGTCAGACCCAGGGGCCAGGTGACCACTCCACTTGGCCCCTCCCCACACTGGTCCCTCCAGGGTGGCAGGGACTGAAAACTCTTGACCCCCCAGAGCTGCTTAGGGTGGGTGTCGGCTCAGGACCCCTCCCCATCCAGGAGAGACCAGGCCTCCTGTCACAGCTGCAGAGGTGGGAAAGGGAGGAAGGAGCCCACTGGAACCTCTGGGCACGAATGGCCCTTGGGCTGCTTCCTGTGCACCGAGGCCCAGGGCCCCACCCTGGTCACCAGGGCCCGGCTCTCACATACAGATGAGCAGAAGGTACCAACGAAAGCTGGTGAATCCCGCAGGTGAGGGGGCTCCTGCCGGCCGGGCGTAGGGGAAGCGCAGCCTGGGTCTCAGCGCAGCCAGACCAGGCAGTGGGTGCTGCAGAGATGGGCATCTGAGGCCCCGGGCCAGCTCCAGGGAGCTGTTCTGAAGATGGCAGAGCACAGGGGCCGAGCCTCCGATCCCAGAAGCTACCTAGGGCAGGCTGTTCTAGGGCAGACAGTCTGCGGAAGCCAGAGCCAGTGCAGGTGGATGCTGGGCACGTGTAGAGCTCAGCCTTGGAGGTGCTACGGTGCTCATGCTGGCCAGTGTCCCAGAGGGCCACCTCCACCAGGAGGCACATGACACATCAGCACGCGCACAGCCCTGTGCCTAGGCACAGAACAGGGAGTGGGCCCCAGAGCTGGGGTTGCTCAGGACGGGCTGAGCAGCCACATCTTGCCCTCCTGCAGATGTGGTCAGCTCCCAAGTCCCCCCGGACAGCAGGCCCAGCAGCCTCCTCACTCCCAGGCAGAGTCCCAGTAAGCAGCCCCTCTAGTCAACACAACACCCCTCTCTCAGGCTGAGCACCTACCAGGAATCTGTGTTTAACTCACAGAAGAATCCAGCTGTGGACAGAGATTCTTGTCTCTGAGCTGCTTCCCGCCAGCCTCAGGGAGCAGGAGAAACGAGGACCCATGTGAGGGGACACTGCTGCACAGAACCTGGGGAGGCCACTGCTCCACACCACTCACTTTAACAAAGCCACCATCATGTGCTCAAGAAGCCACCAGCCTGTCACTGCTGGGAACCTTGAGGCACCTACCACAGTTGCTCCCAATGTCACCCACCACTCTAGACGCCCCAGTGGCCATCACCAGCAGACCCACAGCCTGGACCTTCAGAGACACTCAGAAGAAAGCCACACCAGCCCGCCTGATAAGTCTGCAGGAGCTTCCTGGAATGGTGTGGGGAGCCACCGGAGGGTAGGCCACCTGCCTGGGGACGTGCTCACACTCGAGCGTCTCACAAGCCTATGGATGGTCTGGGTGGAAGCAACTCCACTTGGTCAGTTTCACCCACCCTGAGGTGAGAGAGGGTAGGTGAAAGTGGGGTTGCGAATACCCACTTACTGCCCACGAGAGTATTCATCACAACTCCCAGGACAAAACAGTGCTCACAAGGGCAACCGCAGGGACCAGAAGGCACGGTCCTCACGCTGGTCCCTGCCAGATGTCACAGGGTACAGTGGGAACCAGGGCTGGCCTTCCTCGGGGACACACTCAGGAGGACGTGGTGATGGGTGGAGCACTAGATGCCATGGGAAGGCAGGGAGGTGGGAGATGGAAGGACCTACAAATTCCACACCTGCCATTCCCAGCTGAGCTCTGGCTGGCAGCAGAGGCAGGACAGAGGGGCGGCTCCCCTGGACCTGGGCCAAGAGCCACCCAGCTGGGGCTGCACCTGGGCAGGGGTCTTGACTGCACACCTGTGACCCGATGGCAGACATGGGGTAAGCAGTGCTGCTGGCGGGCAGCCTCGTGAGCCTGGCTTAGGACAGCACCGAGTTCTGAGGGTCTGTTCTTCCCACCACAGACAGGACCCTGTGCTCAGGAATGTGGGCACACTCAGACAGCAACGACGCAGCCAGACCCCACACCACTCTTTAAAAATGTCCCAAAGTGTGGAGCCTGGTCCTGAAGACCACCCCACTCCTTGCCCAGCTGACTCCACAGCTGCGCGGACTCGGTCACCTTCCAGAGCACATGCACTCTGGCCCCACTCCACAGGAGGCCCATTTCTATGGTCCTGTCTCAGCCCTATCCTGAACACATCATTCTCTCATCAGGACCCTAAGGGCTGAGCCCACACTGCCTGCCAGAGAGAAGGTCCCTAGGCTGGACAGCTGAGGCACAGAGGCCAGCCTAAGCCCTCAACGCCAGCCCCCGTTTCACATCTCTAAACAATGACACATCTGTGAACCAGGCTGTCGAGAGGCACCATCTGGCCACCAGTATTCCCTTGGGAAAACACAACTGCCAGTGTCCTTGCCCAGGTCCCCAACCCAGGATGGAGGGATGCAAAACAGCCACGTTCCTATGCTGTACCCAGCAAATACCTCAGAATGTACTTCCTGCCCTTGCAGGCATGGCACAGACCCTCCCAGGAACCCAAGCTCAGGGGTGTGTTAGTTTCTGAGCAGAAGTGTTTACAAATAACACCCAGAGCATCTCTTTGATCAACCAGCAGAAAAATACCCTTCCAAAAAGGGTATTTTGACTTTGCCTGGTGTACCGGGCATCCAGCAGTGGGCAAGGGGGTCCACCTGGCAGGGCCCATCTCCCCTTAAGGCTGATGATAGTCATTCCCACTCCCTCCAGCTCTGCAAATACAAGCATGTCTGATTTACCCAAGACCCTGCAGGGCCTGGGCCTGGGCAGTTCTCTGTTCCTGGACGTAGCACTTCATAATCTGCCCTCAGGGGCACCTGAGTCCCAAGCAGGACCTCTGATCCCCTGAGCAGCATCTGTGGTCTGGGTGGCCACAGCTCACCAGCAGTCCATTCTCTTGGTTGACCCCTTCTGCCTGGCCTGTGATCACCCCTCTGGAATATGGGAGGCAAAGGTGCCCTCTAAGTAGGACCCTCTTTTCTATGCCAGCTGACCCCATAACCTGTGGATGCCCCAGGCCACCCAACTCCTCAGAACATCAGTCTGGGACATCTAGGCCTCAGCCCTTCCCACGACCCTTCCCAGCTCTCCAGCAGGAGGGGTGGGGGCTCCACCCCACCCCCAGCCTAGGCCTTCAGCCCCCAGCACAGATACCAGTGCTGCAGTCCCCAGGACCCCAGCCTGGAGGTTGGGAGCAACTGGTTCTTTTGGCCCTCTGGACATTACTCTGGTCAGCCATCTGGGCCGCTCCCTCTGAGCCTGGGCCTGGGCGAGAGTGCACAGCTCCCGCACCATTCGAGCGGCCCTGCGAGGTGGTGGAGTAGTGCTGTCCCAGCCCGCCAGCCACAGCCTACCTGCTTGTCCCGCACGCGGCGCTCCATGCCGCCGCCTGGGCGCCGCTCCGCCTCCTCCGTGCCTTTGCGGCCGCTCGCGTCTGCGGACACCACGAAGCTGTCCCCTGCGGGTGACGAACGGACGCGCGGGAAACGCGGCACCCACCGAGGAGGAAGGAGATGCCGTGAGCCCCGGGGGATGCGCTTTCGCGCCGCAGCCGCCAGCGCGCCCTCCCCAAGCCCCAAGGACCGCGCAGGGCGGGGGCAGCAGCCCACCCCCTGAACAGGGTGGGTCCGGAACCGAGACCCGGCGGCCACCTCCCGCGACGAGGGCGCGAGGCAGGGCGCGCGCCGGGCTCGGGGCTCCTGGGCTCCAGATGGTCCCCGCGCTCACCTTCGGGGCTCTCTCTCCGCTTGCAGGCTGCGGCGGCTGCTGCGCGGCCGGGGCGCGAGGGAGAGGGAAGGACAGTGAGTGGCGCCGCCCGTCCGCGCCCCGCCCACCCTCCCGGCCGCACCTCACCGTGCTTGGACTGAAATTTCCCCATGCCGCCGCCGTGATCCCGGACCCCACCAGCCCGGGCGCGCTCAGGTGCAGGTCCGAGCCGGGGACGGACGTCCGCTGGGGCCGCAGGACCGGGCTCCGAGCTGGGCTCGGGAAGCCGGGTTCAGCGCGGGCAGGGCGGCGCGGCAACAGACGACAGCGGCGCCCGCGGTGGCCCGGCTCCCTCTGAGCGCGCGCGCCCGCGCCCGAGCTTTAACCACGGGCCCCGCAGCGCCCCCCGCGGCCGCGGCCCGCAGCGCACCCGCCCGCCGCCCCGCCCGCCCCCAGCCCCAGGACCCCCCGTAGCCCGCAGCCCAAGCGCATCGCAGCCCAATGCTGCCAACTGGGGAGGTGGGACCCAGAACCTGGCGGTGACAAGGACCCGCACAGTAGACTGCGAGGGCACTCAGGCGCTGCAGTTGACCCCGCCATTCTGGCTGCCAGGGGACTCTGGGGGACATCCTCCACCCTTCACCAGGCCATCTCCAGTCTGGGAGCCTGACCCCTCTGTTGGAAGGGAGGATCCTGGGGACTCTAGATTACCGGGACCCTGCTTGCCAATCCCATGGCTGGCAGAACATTTGTGGGGAAGAAGAGGTACCTGGAGGAGAGGGTGAGAAGGACCAAAGTCCACCCCAGCCTGGCTGGAGTGACCCCCCTCTCCCTTCTTCCCCAAGGTGAGGCTCTAGCCTCTTTCTGCCCACTTGATGAAAGACCAGTTCTGACCTTCAGCTTGGATAAGCCCTGTACCCCTCCCTTAGACCTTGGGCCTTGGGGGACTGGGTCCTTGTCTCTCCTGTTCTGCTCCTGGTGGTCCGGCTACCTGCTATCTGCCTCCTCTTCTGCTGCCCTCACTTGCTGGGTGCCACCCACACTTGCTTCCTTCCCTGTCCATCTTCAGAGAAACCACCTTTCTCACCTTGGACCCAGCTTCTTCCAACACTTCTCCCGCGATCGCCCCAAACCTCCTCCATCCCCGGAGCTCCTCTCCTGTGCACACGCTGTCTCTCACTGGGATTTTGAGAATAGAAACAGCATTTCCCTACAAACTGTTGCTGCCCCCCAGTGTCCAGCCCCTGTTGCTGACCCCAACATCCACCCCTGCTGGCTTCTAGCCCTGGAGGCTGGTGGCTGAAGCCCCGCCAGGCCTCCTCTCTTCTACCCTGTTCCCACTGCCCCTCTGTTCCCTTCAGAGCTGCCCCCGGCTCTCAAAAGAGCTCCCATGGCCTCTCCTTACCTTCTGCCCAAGACAACTTGGGTGGAAGGAGCTAGCGTCCAGCAGGATGTTTCACCTCAACCGTCTTGCCCGGTTCTCAGGTCATCTTGGGGCAGGTGCTACCATCTCCCCATTATAGAGTCCTGGAACACCTCAGAATCTCTCAGAAGCACAGCTGAGTTTGGAACGGAGACTTGCCCCCAATCCCAGCAAACAGCAGCACTGGCCAGGCATCTGCTGGGAGCTGAGCTAAATGCCAGGTGGTGTGAGGACGAGGCTTTTGGCAGCCCAGCCTGCAAGCTGTTCCCACCACCCCTTCTGAGATCCCAGGGATGGGACATCCTGGAAGACCCAGCCACTCTGCACCACGATGACTTCATCCCTCAGGGCAGAAGCCTGCACCCAGCCACAGCCCAGCTGACCCTGCCCCTGCCCAGGCTCAGTGCACCCTCCACACAGACCCAGACCCAAGGCCAGGGTTAGCCCTCCAGGCCCCCCTCCTTCCCATCCCACCAACCCGCATGAATTTTGACTTCCCAGTTAGAAGGTGATAGCCAGTCATCTATGGCTCCAGGTGTCCTGCTAACGTGCTGTGACAATAACAATATTGTATGTTATGCAGAATGGGAGTGGAGAGACCCTCTGGGTGCTGTCTTATCCACTGCCCAGCGCCCACAGGAGACAAGTGAGGGACCCCATAAAGACATGCCCACAGGACTTCTGCCCTGGAGCCTCTGGGTAACGCTGTGTGCTCACAGTGCTGCACACACCTGCCCCCCAGATGCTGGGATGGTGGTCCTCTGGGGGACATCGGCCAGATGTACTGGGGAAGGGGCCATTGCCTTATTCCTTCTGCAGGCTGAGGCTCTGGTCTTCATGAAGTGTAGATGCCCGGGGCCTGGATGCACTGGGCAAGTATCCTGGAGGGCAGGAGGGGTGGTCTGGCCTGGCCTCCTTGTGGTGCTGAGCTGGGGAAATGCAGACCCTAAGAGCAGACACTCCCCATGTGTCCCTATTACCACTGTTTACCAGTGACGAGTCCTTGCTTCCCTGAATGCTGAAGCATAACACCCAAAAGCACACCAAGGCCAGTGGAGAGTGGACAGTGGAAGGTTTATTAAAGGACAGCAGAGAAGACTTCTCCCCGGAGGAAGAAGGGGACCAGAAAGGCGGAAAGATGGAATCTGTGGAAGGGCCAGATCTTCCCTTTTTTATAGCTAAGGTCTTCTTTCAGCTTTCCCACACTCCTGCCCTTTGTTCCCCGTTATATTGCAGTGATAGAATGCAGGTAGGAGGGCCCAAAAGGTGGGGGACAGGTGGGCTGGAGGAGTCATCTGGGCAGGAAGGGCCTGGGGCGGTTTGATTAGCACCTCCCTGCTTGCTGGGCCTGTTTCATTAACAGTTCCTTAGGATGGGCTCCGGGCTTGGGGACATTAACATTTCAATTTCCTCCAATGCTGCTCTGGTTTCCTGGACTCCATTCTCTATATGTCCTCCATTTTCTTTATCTTACTCGATATTAGCCCCGATTTACCTAACTGCACTAACTACCATCTGTAAATCTGGCTTCAGTTTCCAGGCCACGGTTCACCGATTCCTTGGCAGCTTTGTTGAGAGATAATTCACATACCCACCACTCGCCCCACCATGGCTTCAGCTCGGTCCTCGTGGGAAGTCCTCGTGGGAAGTCCTCGAAGTCGTGATCGCCCCAGAGGGTAACTCCCTGCCCTTCGGCCAGCACTCCCACGGCCACCCAGCCCACTGCAGCCCCCAACCCCTTTCTGTCTCTGCGGGGCTTCCCTGTGGGGGGCCCACCCTGCAGTGCACCCTTGTGGGGCAGCCCGTGTCTGGCTTCTCTCCTACAGCGTGTGTTCAGGGTGCCCCGTGCCAGCGTGCTGACAGTGCTTCCTGCTTTGTTTGGGGAATGCCGGTCCATGACTTGCTTACTTGCCCACTGATGGATGCTGGGCTGTTTCTGCACCGTGGCTAGAGTGACCAAGGTGCTGTGAATGCCTGCCAAGCATGGTGTGGACCTTCCCTGGATCCTCAGGTGCACATGGAGTTGTTTCCACTCAGAGCTACACAGCTTTCCACAACCCTGCATTGTTTCACACTCGTCCACAGTGTGAGACTCTAGCACCTCCTGGGTGGGAGGTGTACCTACTGGCTCTGCCCCACGTGTCCCCGTCCCCCGTGCCGGGGCAATGTGGCATCCCTTGGCGTCTCCTTGGAGACATGCGTTCAGATGTAGTGTCTATCTCCTTGTCGGGCTGCAGAAGTCCCTTGTCTGCTCTGGGTGCAAGGCACACACTGCTCCTCACCTCCACGAGGTGGGTGGATCCACACTCAGCACTCAGGGAGGGTTGTGGGGGCCATGCCTGGCAGCAGCTGGTCAAAGCACACTCACAGCCTCTGTCCATCTATCTGTCACAGTGGTCAGGGTGGCACCCTCATCTGTAGGATGAGGGGCTGCTGTGCGTCCACCTCTGCGTCCAGGCTGCAGCCACGGTGCCCGCCAGTGCCAGTTCCCTGGTGTGCTGTGGGACCCGGGAGGGCAGTGGGCCCCTGGCAGCACCTGGACTCTGTTCTGTAACCAGGGCCTACAGGTGGTCAAGCTGGCCTTGTAGGGAGGCTGAGGCCAGGGTACTGGCCTTATGAAATGCAACACACACCTGTTCTCACACAGGTGGTACACATGGCTGCTCAGCAGTGCCACCTGCTTCTGTGGTCGTCAACAGGTGGTGCTGTCACTGTTGTCCTCCCGCCTTCAGAGGTGCAGGGAGGTCCGCAGCCTGGCAGGCATTGGCCAGCTTACAGTGTGGACTGCGAACAGCAATGTCCACATTGTCCAAAAGTGACCCCAGGCTGAAGACACCTTCCAGCACAGTTTGCTCCTGGAGACAACAGGGCCTCCCTGGGGCTGGCCCTGGACTCCACCCGGGCCTGACCAACTCCATCCTCCAGCCAGGGCCATACGCAGCCTTCCCTGTGTGTGGAAGTATCTCTGACACCATCGTCCACCTCCATCCTGACCATCAGACTGGGGCAGCCACTGGACACCTACCTGGTCACTGACCTCAAGGCCAAAGGGGGAGAAGGAAGTGGAGGTGGCTGTGTGTGCGTGTGTGTGCGTGTGTGGGTGTGTGTGCGTGTGTGGGTGTGTGTGTATGCATGCACACGACTGCCTTCATTTGTGCCCGCCAGAGCCGCCAGGCTGGGCCTCGGAGGCACCATCCTCAACGCCCCCTCAGTCTGGATCTAGCTTCCACTCACCTGGCATCCGGCTGCCGCAGGTTTCTGGGATCTGGGGGGTCCTGCACAGCGCAGCCTTCCTGGGGCAGCCGTCTGCAGTCTGCAGGGCTTGCTCCTCTCTCCTTCGCTGTGTTCCGACAGTACAAGAAATGCTGGTGCCTGCTCGCCCGTGGCCAGTGTGACTGCATCACTGCCCATGGCCTCCTTATGAGCCTGGGGTCTTGCTCAGGAGAGACCGCAGGGCCTGAGAAAACCTGCCTGGTCAGTCTTGCCTGTCCCCTTCCATGCATGACCGTGGCTCTGAGGGTGTTCGCCTTCACCTGGGTGGGTGCTTGCCATTTGGGGAAGGGATCATTGTGCTCACAAGTGCATAAGATGACCGCCCATTGCCCACCACCCTTCCTGGAGCCCCTGCTCTCTGCAGGTCTCTCCCTGGACCCCGGCGGTCTGGCCCAATGGTGGTGGTGCAGGAAGTGCTGGCTGCCGGCTCCCACCGGCCTTCCCTTCCAACCAGCACACCAGCGCTCTGGAGGTCC